GATAATATTTAAGTCATATGCATAAGCTTAGTTCATTTAAAGCAATTACATACATAAGCTTTTGTAGTATTCAAAATACGAAAAATATCAACAAAACTTTAACCTCTATCCTTTAACCTTTATATCTCAACCAAAGAGTAATTCATCAATCTCTAAATACATAACATCCTAAATACTATCGCATAATAATTCAATTTTCAAAATTATATATAATTCAAATACACTAGTACGTATGAAAGCATTTAGAATACACTAGTATATATAAAAATTACAAATACTTGTCAAACTGCTCAAGAGTAGAGATAAGATCCGACTTATGATGGTTGTCTCAGGAGCAGAGGTGTTTTGGAAGGGGAAACTAATGAAGAAGTACAATGTTAAAGAATTGTGTACTTAATTTAGGCCAAGGGAACCCCTAGTTCCTTGGTTTCATCTCGTTTGGAAAGGTATTTCTATGCCTAAGAATCAGTTTGTGGTATGGATAATTGCAGAATCTTCTTATACAGGCTTCTCATAAGATGGGTAAGCTGGGGTATTGTTGGCTCTTTCTCGTGTTGCTTCTGTCCTCATAATCTGGAGTCAAGATCCCATTTGTTTGCTGCTTGCCCATATTTCAAGGTGTTTGTTAGTTTGCTTTCTGGTTCTATGGACAGAATGACTGGGGATCGAAATCAGTTGTGGAATTGATAACACAGATTAAGAAGGAAGTGGAGGTGATTTAGGGGGTTGACACAACTCCTTTTTGGAATTGACGATCTCACTTTTGGCGCATACATTTTTCCTTACAGTATAGCAGTTTATATATAGGTTTTCTAGACCTAGATTGAGGTCAACTATCTGTTTGTTTGGTTTTACTTAGTAGGCAGAGTTGTTGCTTGCGAAGTACAGTTTTTCGGATGAAATACAAATGAAAATCGATTCAGCGGAAAAAAATCGAGAATAGGAATAAACCTAAAAATGATAAGGGTTCTTTTTACGGAAGAATGATTTTTTTTATAATAATGGAATAGATAAGGGTTCATAGCTTAATTAAATATTATGAAATTAAGAAATTTAGTTATTAATTTACCATAATTTATGAAGAGAGCAAAACAAAAAAAAACCACTTAAATACAACTCATATTTGGTAACCAAAACTCGTGGGCCGAAATTACAAAAGAAAGGAAGAATAAAAATAATTTATGTTGGTGTTATTGCGGTTGATTTTTCTCTACGCAATATAATTGCAGCAGTAGTAGAAATCGATGGTTTGTGGGGATTTTTTTCCAGAGATAGCATTGTTTAAAAAAATTACAAAAATAGCACCCAACTCCGAAAAATTTCGAAAATAGTATCCTTTTTCGAAAACTGTCACCCGAATCAGCGGTTTACACGAAAATCGCCGGGTGGGGCGTGATTTGCGATGAAAATCGCACGGTTAAGGTGCGATTTTGAAAACCGCTCGGGGTGCAGGCGGTTCGGTCCAAAACCGCTGCCCAACCCTGAGGTTTGGTCCATAAATTTTTTTTTTTCAAAAAATCCTAACCTAGGTGCAAACTTCAAACGAACATATCATTGTGTTCGGGTAACCGATCGTCGCGATTTTTCTTTTATTCCGCATAACTTTTCGAGATCTTGCAAGCTGCAAACGGCCGTAGGCGGTTTGGTCCCGCCTTCGTCTCAAAAAAGTGTCATTTGCTACCCCGAACGAGCTTTTTCCCCATTTCGTCAAACTTTGGACGACCATAACTTTGTGCTAAAAAATCCGAACTTCATGAATTTTTTTTCATTTCGCATAACTTCTTAAGGACTACAACTTTTTTCATAGACATAATTTTGAAATGTACGTGGATTTGTGAAAAGGGAAGGTAAAGTTATTCCCAAAACCCTGTATATACAAAAATAATTCCTGTTTTGAAAATTTCTTCCTAGTAAAAATTGTAGTCCTTCAAAAGTTATGCGAAATGAGAAAAAAATCACGTTGTTCGGATTTTGGAGCACAAAGTTATGGATGTTCAAAGTTATTGATGATTTTTAGCGTTCAAGTACTAAAACTTAGTCACTATGTAATTGTTTCAACAAAAGAGTTGTAGTTTGGTGGTGTAGATGTTGTGTTAAATTTAATTAACTATTTATTATCAGGGTTCAAACCACCATTCCATAACATTATGCTTTTTTTAATCTATACTAAATTAAAGATTTAATATGGGATGATGGTGTTTCGAACCTGGGACCTCTTGCACAAACAGAAGCAGCTAAACCAGTTATGTCAAGACCACTTATGACAATTATTTGGAAAAAAACTTTTGATTACAAACCGTCAGGTGGGGGTGGGGTTTGCACCCAAACCGCTCCGGCCCCATGCGGTCAGCAAAACCGCTCCCTACCCGTGTGGTTTTCGTCGAAAATCGTACCCCCACCCTGCGGTTTTCGAGAAAGGGTGCTATTTTTGTAATTTTTTTTAAACGCTGTTTAAGGAAAAAACCCAGTTTGTGGCTAGTGAATAAATATGGGGCTGCACTGTAGTTAATTAGTGGTAACAGTTTTGGCCTATAAAGAGTTTATGATGATTAGTGGCTTCAAAGTTGGCCCAATTAGATAGTTGTCTTGCGGGTTGAGACCAAAATTTAATTAGTGATAATCATTTGACATTTAGCGGGGAAACAAAAAATTAAGAAATTTGGATGGACAAAAATACCCTTCCGAAAATTAAGGAGAGACCAATGATTTTTGAATGCTGAAAATCCTGTAAAACTCTACTATTATGTATTCTTTTGATTTTTGGTTTCTCAATAATTGGTTCGATTTTGGTATATGATATGGATCAACGTACGAGGTTTGTCTAATCCGGATCGTATATGCGTGATTTGGTTTGGTCCGTATTGAAGGGATTCGAACCTGGAATCTCCAAATTCAAAACCAGTGTTATTGCCACTAGGCTAAGTCCTTATTCACTTGTCCGTATTATATTTGATATCGTATTACATTTATAGACCGGACCGTACTATTTCTCAACCCTAAGTAGAAGCTACTCCTCATAGAGTTGAAATCTGCCCTGACCCTGTCTGACCAGTCCCTGAAAGGTAAAGATGAATAAATGACCCGTCCCATCCTTGTCTCCTTCTTGACTCTGTCTGACCCGCAAGGGTTGGGACGGGTCGGGTCAGTGGGTCGACCCTAATCTAAACACTACTTTTTTACAAATTATGTTTTGGTACCCAAAATTATTTTTCTTACAATTTAGTATCTAAAATTTAATTTTTTACAAACAAGTCCATAACTTTTGATTGTAAAATTACATTTTGGTATCCAATTTTTTTTAATTTTTACAATTTAGCACCTAAACTTTTAAGACTTTTACAAAGAAGTCCAATGTTGTATGAGATATTTGTTGTTGCTAAGAGTCACAAGGTCAAAAAGTGGCTCGTTCCTAAGTTGTCCTTACCTGCCCTAACCCTTACATGGTCAACAAATGACTTGTCTCTAATCTGACCCTCTAGACAAACTGACCCATCTCGATCCTCAGGGATGGGATGGGTCAGTGGGTCTTCCGGGTGAATTACCCCTAACTCCCCCATGCGTACAGGTACAACGTACTTAGTTAAAAGACGAATTCCTCAATTAAGTACCATCCGTAATTATCGTTTATAATCATACCTTCCGCCAAGATGACAACGAGGAGCGAGGCCAGAGCTCAGCTGCGCCTTGCAAACGACGAATTCCTCAATTTAATGTACGCCAGCGGTGGGTGATGATGGCCACCGCCCCAAAAGCATGCCATCAAATCTGCAGCTATACCCATTTTGCTGTAACAAGCCGGCCGGCCGACCGACATGCATGCACCGATATGGCAATAAACATATACGCATAACGCTCATGGCAAATCACCGGCCTTAGCTTGAACCTGTGAGTGACGTTGATCGTCGGACAATATGGCCCTTATTCAAATCAATAATATAATATATTCTGATCCACAACATCAATCCTTCCATTCCCATCCTTGCCTATATATATCGCGACTCCATACTTGCCTATTAATTACAAGGAACTTACATGTATAACGTAATTAAGTATGGGGCGTTCGATGATGTTATTCTGCTTTGCAGTTCTGCTGCTCTCTAACTTCGGTGTTTGCGCCACTCCGCCATCTACTCCGCCGCCTGCACCGGCTCCAATCGGATTTCGTGTTGGCGGTGGAGGAGGAGGCCAACGAGGTGGCAGCAGCGGTTCAGGTGGTTATGAATTTGGGATTGGGACGGGGAGTGGTTCGGCGACGGATCCAAGCAGCGGCGGATCCAGAAAATTTTTATAGGGGTGTCCTCTTCCAAATATTAAATTTTAATTAAAAATTAAATAATTCATAAATCAAATAAATATCCAACTAGTGCAAATATACCATATTAGACAATAATTCCCGAATTGATCGCATATTCGATTTCTAACCTTGTTCCTGATGCAACTCAAACTTGAAAGACTCTTTCAACTATTACACTATACCTATAAAATCAATTCAAATTAAGGATAGCTCGAATGAGTTTAATTGTTAAGTTTTGAAAATAATTGGGAATAAAGAATAGTGTTTTTTACTATAACATAGTGTTTAAAATAAAACAATAAATGAGTTGCAACCTAGAGAATATGTTTAATAATAGTAGTGTCCTCGGTTTGAATAACACAGACTACTACTTATATATTTTTAATCATACGCAAACTACTACCGAGGACATGTTATCTTTTTTAAAAATTTAAGGGTGTCCCGAATTACCAATTATAATTTTTTTTATTCATACGAAACTACTACCGGGAGTTGGATAATCGTTTCCCCAAATTTTAGGGGGTGTCCTGGGACACCCCTAAAGCCCCATGTATCCGCCACTGGATCCAAGCACTGGTGGAAGCTTCGGTGGAGGAGGTGGTGGCCAAGGGGGTGGTGGTGGCACGGCCGGAGGCAGTGGGTTTAGGAATGGCAATGGGGCAGGTCCGGGGCGGGTTTCTTGGTATCCAGACCCGCTCCGTAGCAGGGCGGGTCCAGGTCGGGTAATTGATCACGGGTCGCAGGTCGGGGCAGGCCGACCCAATGGGTATGCAATTTATATGAAAAACATTAGAAATATTCGTTATTTTTATTATAAGACTAAGAAAACAAACAATATTATGACAATTGTAGTTAAATTATTGGAGAAATTGAGATTTTCACTAATTTACAACTTTATTATAGCTAAAATATGATGCAATAAAAGGAAAATTCAAAGTAATTTGACTAAGATTACATGTAATTTAAACAAGAACGGGTCGAGAATGGGGCGAGTCAGGGCAGGTCGGGTCGATGAGACTACTCATACAGGTCAAACAGGTCGGGTAAAACGGGTCAAGTCAAAATTGCCATCCCTAAGTGGGTTTGGCATGGGCAGTGGAACCGGGTCTGGCTACAAGGGCCGGGGGGGCTTCTTTTGCCGGTGGCCAAGGTCAAAGGAGAGTACTTCATGGCTACTCTTTAGAATAATTAAGTATGACTGTTGGAAGGCCGGTGGTACGTTTGACAAGTAGCTAAGCAACTCGATCAGTAGGGTTTTTTCCTCTACCAAGTCATGTGTTGAACGTCCTTAATTCTTTGTTCCTTTTGTGTATCTCTTTTGTGTTGTGTGATCTATGTGAAGTTGTGAACGAATAAAACAAGTATCATCACCGAGACCAAGGTTGTCGGCTGTGTTGTTGTATTATGTATCGGAGTCGTGGAGGCTCTGTTCCAAAATTGACATGTGGTCTAAATTATCTTCTTGCTTATAATAAAATTAAAAATGAGATTCGTCATTATTTGAAATAAATTATTTATTATCTGTCTAATTTCTATATTGTGCATGAGATTATTTTCAATTGCTATCATAGCGATTCTATTAAGATTTTCTTGTACTATTTTTCAATACAAATAGGATTATTCGAAACAAAAAAATATTTTCACAATCAATGTGTTTAGTGTATATATACATGAGAATAATGAACAATGGCTAGCACATTATAATTATTATTATAATTAAACTCGACATTATACTCATAATCAATTAATCATACACTAAAAATACAATCTACAATACACGATCGAATTAACTTACACATTTAAGCGGAGGCCCGCTAATATTCGGAGGCCCTGTGTCGGAGGGCCTCCTGGACACACCCTCTTGGCCGGCCCTAGACAGTGGAAATAATCACTAAATGATATGATTAGTCAATTAGAGCATCTACATTTATCTTGTATTTTCAATTACAATATAACATGACATAAAAAAATTGGAAAATTTATGAAATATGTTTTCGCAATAACAAAATCATTGCTTATTTGCAAACTTGCAACAACTAATTAGGATTTTTTGTTTGCAAGCGGCACAGTTTTGAAAGCCAACACTACGGGAAAAATGGCCTCTTGCAACTCCCACAAATGTGTTGCGTTATGTATTAAAAGAGTTGCGAAAATCTATCGCAACACTTTTGGTAGGGTTGCATATAGTGGGGGTTGCAAAAAGAATAGGCAGCTGTTTTTCCATTTTTCGCAACCCAAATATAAAGGGTTGCGTATCCTTACCTCTTACGCAACACCACTTTAGGCAACACGTTTCACAAGTTTTGCAACACATTTTTGTAAAATGGGCAACGGTATTTTTAACTTTTAGCAACAGTAAAATTTGTATATCTGACGAGTTTAAATCGTCACGAATAACTAACTCAATTGTGACAACATTGCTCGTAACAAAAATTAAAACTTGCGTGACAATATTATCGTCAATAAAAATTCTTTTTGTGACGAGGTAGTCCAGTCACGAAAACTATCATTGTGACATGTCTAATTGTCACGAATAGATACATGTGTGACCATAATTATGTCACAAATACACATTGTGAAATTCCTCGTAAGATTTAGGGGTCGCGTTGGTTGTCACTAAAGTAACTATTTGTGACGAAGTTTACTGTCACGTATGTCCCCTATGTGTGACGAATTTCAATCGTCACTCACAATATACTTTTGTGATTATCTAACTTTCACAAAAGAATCATTTTGTGACAATTTTTTTTATCACGAAAACACCGTACGTACCACAAAATGACGTCAATTGAGACCAATATTTCGTTGCAAAAGGATATATTTGGTGACAACTTTACTAATCACTCAAAGCAGCATTAGTGATAAATTGACGGCACGAACTTCGCAAATCCCTTTCATTGGTGACCAACCTTTCATCGCAAAAGGTTAGCTTTTGTGACAACTTTGCTAGTCACTAATAAAGCAATGGTGATGCATCACTGAGTTATCACAAATGTATTTCTATTATGACAATAAAATTATCTTTTCAGCCTTCTTTTATGACAAGAGATGATGACACGAGTATACCCCAAAAATGATGATAACGTATGTCCTACATGAGTGCATTTTGTGACAAGATTTTAGAACACATATTGCTACAACACTCTATTCAGTGAGAAGATGTGTCGTCACTTCTATTAATTGCGAGAACATGTTTTGTCACAAATTTAATGGTTTGACGACTAACGAGCTTCTTTAGTGACAAGAAATTAAAATACGAATATAGTCATTGGTGAAACAAAAAATATATCATATTTTGTGACAAGAATGGTCACCAAAATAAATAAAAAATCAAATTCACTAGATAATAGGGGAAAAAGTCTTAAACTCAAATTTGGCTACTAATAATTCTAAATAGTATTGAAATCAATCAAAACCACAAATCTAACACTAATGAGAGGTTTTTTATCTTTATAAATCATCCTATTTTTTCGGACGCAACAGTTGCATCATGTCTTCATCATGTTGCTTTTGCAGGTCAGCAAACCTTTGTTCCCATTTCTTGTTCTGCTCTGCTAGCCGGGCCTCAAACTGTTGGTTTAACTCTGAATAGATCTCATTTCTTATCCCAGCTCTAACTTCTTCCCCAACCACAGCAATTTTCTCCCGCCTAACACGTCGAGACGAGAGCTTGCCCTTGGCTTTAAGTATTATCTCTTTGTTAGACAAATAAGTTCCTTGATTGACTATCTCTTTTATTCTTTCCTGTAAAAAAGAAAAAGAAATTATTCTATTTTATGATTTCAGAATGAAGTGTATATAAATGTAAGGCATTGAAAAAGTCTATGAAAGTTTACTTACGTAAATTGCTTTTGATGCGTCATCGCACCATATCATCTCTCCTTCTTCATTCTTCTTCATATGTTGAGCACGCCACACTTCATCAACGGACTTCTTAATTCCAGTTTTTGGATCTATCTATGATTTCAATTTCATTATTCAACTTAAAGAGTGTTAACAAAACTAAAAATGTGATATGAGGTAACAAAAATAAAATAAATTTAGAAGTTAAAACTAGAAGATCATTACCATATTAAATTCAAATTCATCATGAGATCTTGATCCACACACATTCTTCACTTTCACCTGTGATCTATTCTTCTTATTTCTCAAGCTCTTTTTCTGTATAGCTCACATTTTAGGATTAATAATAAATTCAAATAAACATATTCTAAAAGACTTAGAAGGAAAAAAATTAAGGATTAAAATGTGCACTTACTTTGAAAAGCTCTGATCCCCAATTGACAACAACTTGCTTCCAATCTTCTTTATCAATGCCGTCAGGAACATAACTTTCCCTTTCATTTTGATCCATCTCTTGAAATTTCTTGCGTAAGTTGTACAGCGTAGTCGAATATGATTTTTTCATTTTCTTAAATATAAAAGATCTTAACTTCTCACTGCAATTGCTCTTGAATTTCTCCTACAAACAAAGTAACTCAAGAGTATAAGATTCTTAAGAATAGTTCAATATGCAAAATATTAACAAAAAATGAAAAGTGTGAAAATGATTGATCGTACCTCCACTAAGGAGCACAATTTATCACCAATTGTTTCTTCAACCTCATCCCAATTCGTGGCACTCAACTTAGCATGTTTTTTTATTAGAACCCCACAGAAACTAACTAAGTGCCGAGCATTCTTACCAACAGCCTCTGTCCCTGTGTTGGGAAAATAAACCTCTAATTTTTTCCCATCTTGGGTTGCTAGCACAACAGCATTACAGGTTGTGATCCCCCTCTTATTATTCACTGTAATAATAAATACGTGACAAAGTTTTAATGGCTTGATTTAATAATAAGAGCATATTAAAATATGGTAGTCCTAAAGTATTAAGTAGGCTAACTAGAAAATGGCGTTTACATCTAGTTAAACTATTAACCAGCAAACCAGAAATCAACAAACAAAAAAGACTCAATGAAAAAAATGAGCAGATTTGTATTACAGTGAATAAATAAAAAGCACTCCAATTAATTAAGCTGACTAGTTACAAAGCAAATCATAAGCATCGCCGCACTATATCCCAGGACTTGGGCAATTTTTAATGCGTATTATTTAACCAAAAATGGGTACTTCTTTTATAATATTAATGTAATCTTATCTTAATGGAAATTTGATCAATGGGATAAATAATAAAAGCTCCAACTCATCACAACTCATCACAAACGTGGGACGTATCATTTAACCAAGTTTGTTGTTTAACCTATCAAGCTCCAACTCATCACAAACGTGGGGCGTACTCCGCCAAAAAAAATTTTGGACTCAGTATATCAAATAAAATTGGGAGTTTGCAGTTAGGGATTCAGATTAAATTAAATACGGTCCTTTGGCAATTAACAGATGAACACGCAGAACGAGAAATAGCTTAAACAACAAACAAATTTTTCACGTACCTTTTGGAGGGTCCGAGTTAATTTCAGAGGATGGGACAAATGAAAATTCTTCTTGCATATTCTCTCCTTCCATCAGTGTTTCATCCGAATCATATTCGGCTTCAGTATGTAAAGATGGGGAACGGGTCTCATCTGAATCGTAATTGGGCTCACGTGATCGTTTTCTTCCTTTTCTCTGGTATGTGGTGTAAGCAGAGGACGTCATTGATGTCAAGACAGACAAAGAGCATACATACTGAATCAAACTTACGTGTGAAAACATGAGAAAAATAAGGAACAGTTGATCATCATACCTTGTAGCTTGGGCCAAGAGTAGAGCAAGAAGGTAACGACAATGAGTGAGTGGGAAGTCCTCGTTGAATATTTGCTTGCGGCTGGAAAGGAGAAAGGATTGGGGTTTCGTGAAAGTGGTAGAATGAAAGAAGAAGGGTTTTCTTTTTCCGTAAGGGTTTTATTATTAAGTGTTTAGGTGAAGCTTTCCT